AGTAGTCTAAGGTGAGTGACCTTACTGGGTCAAGATGTGAACATAATGAATTTTAATTCCATTTGACAAGAGACTGGGAATTGTAAATACCACAAATGCACGGCCATTACCTCCTGCAGTGTGGCAAGAGATTTCAATAAAGTGCTATCGTAGCATCTTAATGTTTCTTGGACAGCACCTTCCAAACCTACAATCTCTATAATCTGACAGGACAAGGGTAGCAGATGCATGGGATTACCACCATCTGCAAGTTCCCCCCCAATCCACATAGCATTCTTGCAACAATATCTGGTTAGAAATATAGGTTTGATTGAAAAATAAGCATGATTAATCAGGTGGAGTAACATAGGTTCTAAAAACATCTTACAATTCATGTAGGATTTAACCATGAAACTCCATTCTAGTTAGCAGGAAAAGGGTATAACTAAAAGGAGACATGGAGACAACACACAGATACTATTAAATAAATGAATGTTCAGCACAAAGAACAACAATATAAACAACAGTTTACCCACAGAAAAGGGAGCCTGGAAAGACACAGAGCAACATTACACTTAGGCATCAACGTAAAATGTTGATTACAGAAGAAATACTGAAAAAATCCAATTGATAAGAGAGGTAAAGATCCTTATTGTGTGAATACTGTCAGAAACCAGGGTAAGATAATACTCAAAAGTCAGAGAAATGAAATATCCTGACTGATAAATGTTTAACGAAGGATTCTTTTAAGATTGAAAGATTAGGGAGAGATAAAAATGAATTTTTAGAGATGAAAATGAAACTTCTTTACTAATAAACATTCAACAAAGGATTATTTTAAGGTTGAAGGAATAAGGGCGAGTTGAAAGGAATGTGAAACATTACGAATAAATTGACTCAATAAAAGCTCACAACTTCAGCAAGGAATCTTCATTAATAATTTAAGAATAATGTTACAAATGATACATTATCACACCAAATGGGAGGAACCTATATAGAGGTTGACATCAATATTTGCAAAGCCAGAGGAGTCAACATAATATAAAAACAAAAGCCTTTCACTGAAATTTCAGCAGTATTACAAACCCACAGATAATAAGTTTCTAACAGTATTATCTTCCACCAAAGAAGATTCTCACTTGCCTAGGGCTTTAAGTTAAAACTCTACTTCAAATCTTGATGGAAATTCTATTCTTAGATACTCTTACATGTTCTTAGATATTTTTAGATGGTTATAAATAACATCAAACTGGATTCTATTAGATTGGCATTATATCTTTCGATAGTTTTTGACACAGCGGTATACTTATTTACTTAAAGTGTATTAAAGTCATACAGACATAGAAACGTACAGCATGGAAACAGATCCTTCAGTCCAACTTGTCCATGCTGACCAGATATCCTAAATTAATCTAGTCCCACTTGCCAGCATTTGGTCCATATCCCTCTAAACCCTTCCTATTCATGTACCCATCCAGATGCCTTTTAAATGTTATTGTACCAGCTTCCACCGCTTCCTCTGGCATTTAATTCCCCACACGCACCACCCTCTGCATGAGAAAATTTGCCCCTTAGGTCCCTTTTAAATCTTTCCCTTCTCATGTTAAATCTATGCCCTCTAGTTTTGAACTCCCCCACCCAGGGAAAAAGACCTTGGCTATTCACCCTATCCATGCCCCTCATGATTTTATAAACCTCTATACGGTCACTCCTCAGCCTCCGACGCTCCAGGGAAAATAGCCCCAGCCTATTCAGCCTCTCCCTGTAGCTCAAACCTGCTGTAACCCTGGCAACATCCTTGTAAATCTTTTCTGAACCCTTTCTAGTTTCACAACATCCTTCCTATAGCAGGGAGACCAAAATTGAGTGCAGTATTCCAAAAGTGGCCCTAACCAAAGTCCTGTACAGCCGCAACATGACCCTCCCAACTCCTATACTCAATGCACTGACCAATAAAGGCAAGCATGCCAAATGCCTTCTTCACTATCCTATCTACTTGAGACTCCACTTTCAAGGAACTATGAATCTGCACTCCAAGGTCTCTTTATTCAGAAACACTCCCCAGGACCTTACCATTAAGTGTATAAGTCTACCCTGACTTGCCTTTCCAAAATGCAGCACCTCTCATTTATCTAAATTAACTCCATGTGCCATTCCTCAGCCCATCGGCCACTTGTTAATTTCTGTTAAACCATTTTAAAATTAGTGAATCATTTCATTTAAGTAATCTGTTACAACTAAAATGAATTCCTAAAGTGGGGAATTATATTTCCTGAAGCGAAAACTCCTGGATCCTTAAAATATCTGCAATGTTCCAGCATAACAAAAGTTTATTAAAATTAAGCTGGCTATTTGGAGGATGGTAACTTTCCTTACAAACCGAAAAACCTGAAGCCTTTGTGAAATTGACTAGCTGGAATTCAGCTAGCAGAAGTTATCAGAGAATTATGTTACCAGTTATTGTGGTGAGGCCACGGCTGGAGTATTGTGTGCAGTCCTGGTCACCACATTACAGAAAGGAGATAATAGCTCTGAAGAGAGTGCGGAGAAGATTTACTAGAATGTTGCCAGGGCTGGAGAGTTGTTGCTAACAAGTTGAGGCTGGAGAGGTTGGGGTCGTTTTCCTTGGAATAGAGAAGGCTGAGGGGGTGACATGATTGAAGTATACAAAATTGTGAGGGGCAGGGATAGAGTAGACAGGAGGAACCAGTTCCCCTTGGGCAGGAAGAGATCAAAAACCAGGGTTACAGATTCAAGCTAAACGGCAGAAGCATCAGAGGGAACATGAGAAAAAAACTTTTTTATGCAGAAGTTAGTGGATGTCTGGAATTCGCTGCCTGAGTTGGTGATGGAGGCAGAGACCCTAAACTCTTTAAAAAGTGCCTGCATCTGCACCTTGAGTGCTGTAAGATGCAGGGCTATGGGCCACGCGCAGAAAGACGGCATTAGAAAGGACATCTAGCTGTCTTTGAGTCAGCATGGATAAGAGATCTGAATGGCCCCTTTGTGTGCTGGATCATTTTTATGGTTGTAAAACTCTGGATCTATGTTAGGTCTAAAGAAGGAGTTAAACACTATAAATCACTTCAGAATGACTCGTAACTGTATCATTGTGTCGGTGCGTGAAGTCTTGGAGAGGCTTCCTAAGAGCACTGTGGTGGGCCCACACTACAGGGAATGGAGAATTTCAGGAAGAAGCTTGCTCCACTGTCTCAAGGAGCATTTGGGAATGGACAACCAACATTGGCCTTGTCAGTCACAGCCCATTTCCATGTCTACATAAAGAAACATCTCTAGCCTCTTGGGAAATAATGTAGATTAACATTCGGAGGATTTTTGTTCGAAGCTGGACAACAGAGATATCAGGGATTTGCAAATAAACATGACACATTGCTGTTGTATCTTCAGCTCATTTAATGATTCAGGATGTAACAGAATAGATAATAAAACACCACAAATCACCTCACAGTATTAAAAGATTTGAACAACTTATCATTTAAAAAGGCATCAACAGATCACCAACATTCAGCATCTGGCACTGAGAAACGTGAATAAGTGATTACATTCTCACATTCTGAGCAGGATCGAGTGCATTGAGTATGAGTTTCCTTGCAATTATCATGTCACAATCAATGATCCACAGATGAGCACATGCTGACAAGACACATTCACTGGTACTGTATTCAACAGAAAAATACTGGAAACTCACACATTGTGTCATTTACAAGCATCAGGCTACAAACTACTGCCAGTGAGTTTGGCAAACAGACAGTTGCTTGACATCTTCCTCCTTAAACTTGTTATCAGCCTCTTTAATTGGCAGAATTACATCAATCCAGGATCACCATCTCTACAGGGATTGCCTGGGCTCTCCCGTGATTGTAGATTCATTTCCAGAACACTGACTGCAGGAGGCACTCAGCTGAGAAATCAGAGACGCACCTTAATAACAACGAGAGCTTTGTTTCAAACACTTTTGTTTGTTGGAACAATGTTGGAAATGAGAGGAGAGAACAGCCGTTCAAATGATCCAGGTGTAAACCCAATCAGAGGTGCAAGCAATAACTAGTGATTGTATCAATGTTGAATCAGTGTCTCTGAGGGTCAAGCTGTGGTTCATGGTCATGGTTGTACATGGTATGGCTCTTATACTGAGAGACTGGAGAAGTTGGACCTGTTTATTTCAGAAAAGAGAAAGCTAAGAGGAGATCTGAAGGACATTTTCAAAATCGTCAGGGATCTGGACAGAGTGGACGGGGAGAAACTGTTCCTGTTCAAAGGAGGATCAAGAACCAGAGGGGACAATTTCAAAATGTTTTCTGTAAAAAACAAACGCAAAGTAAGAAATAACACAGTGTGGAGCTGGAGGAACACAGCGGTGATTCTTAACAGTGGGAATGTGCATTGATGGTCAGTGTGAGTGGCACAGCCACTGGGCAGTCATTAGTCACTGTGGAACTGCTTTCTGACACCAGTTACCAGCAGAACAGCTCAGCCTTAATGAGCTGGAAGCTGAATTATAGACACTAGGACATGTCATGGAGGATACAGGCAGAGGTAAGTAGATTGTTATTAGACAAGAGGCTGAAAAGTTATCAGGGATCGGGAGGA